CAACCAGTAGCCAAGTCTTTATTCAGGCCTCAGCCTCTCAGCCATGTGTCCCTTGACCTCTGCCTCCTCAGGCCAAGAAGCCAGCCCACTGCTCTGAGTCTCTTAGTCTCAACACTGCTCCTCCGCTGCATCTCATGGTCTCCTTGCTTTGGCATCTGGTCACTGCCTGGCTCCTTTGCTCTGTCACATGGTCTCTGAACCACAGTCATTATTGTCTCTGGTCTCGAATATCCTCCACTGGTGGCTCTTCCTTAATGGTCCCTGAATTCTCTCTCTCTGCTTCCGAGATGGCTCTTATACACAGAGAAATGACTTTGATGGAGGTTTGGTTTTGTCATTCAGCAGACCATACACCAAGGAAACACCTTCTAGTAAAGTGGAGACTCAATAGAATTCCCTCCAAAATAGGATTGTAACTATCAGCATAGAGGCTAGCATTTCTAATATATTACACAAGAGATTATGGCTAGGATGTTAATTTGCATCTCAGGTCTCTAAGTTATTACAAACCAGTTAAGTGCTTGACTGCTAACCAAAAAGTTGGTGCTCAAAGATACCACAGAAGAAAGGCGTAGAGATCTGTTTTCTTAAAGATTACGGCTAAGAAAACTGGAATTCTGCTTTGTAACACATGGCATTATCTTGAGTGGGAATCTTATTGATGGCATTGGGTTTCTTGGTTTGTGTGTTTAACATCAGTGCGGTACTCTAAATAGACACTTCATGAGGAGGCAAATGTCACCTGTCATGCACATAACTCCTGTTTGTATGAGGAGAAACTAGGTCAATGCAAGGGCATGTTTGGGCCTTGTGGGGGGCAGAGCTCTTTACCATGCCCACATCCTGCTTAGCAGAAATGGTGTAGATGCCCTGTCTTGGTCACCAGTTCAGGAGTGACTGCCTCCCTTCCCTTTCCCCCTTCAAAGGAGAGAGGTGCCATCTTTAGAAATTAATTTTACAGCCCATGTCCTGTTTGTATAAATGTACAGGCTGTATTAAATAATTAGAGTATCAGTGTTAGGCCGGATTGACAAGAGAAACAAATATGCTTGATATCAAGGAGTAATTTGATATCAAGAAAACATCCGAGCCCAGTCCAAATCAAGCCCATAAATCCCTCTTCAGACTCGTGGAACAACATGTGATGATGGAGAAGGCATGAATGTCACAGGCCGACGAGTGCAGCGTCTGGTGGATCTGGCAGTGGAAGTATCACAAGGCTCCGACAGGTCTCAGCTGCTTGAAGCAGAGGGGGTGGGAAACTCCCCAGCTCCTCCTCATGAGAAGGTCACTCCCACAAGGAGTTACTATAGGCTTTGACCTGATTGACAGGCTACACTCCAGGCCTATACGCTTATATATTCAAGTTGACATGAAATTATGTAGCTACCACACTCATTGACAGTACATTGTTGTTCATTGGCATCAAATCAGACCCTGACTCCATAGCTCTATGCTCAGTGGGACAAAACAGTCCAGAAGTTCCACTGAAACCAGCTTAGTCTAATAGAAACTTGCAAGCCTCCACTGACAAATGGCGGGTGGACTATGCTTGAGGTACATTGACCAAGAATCGAACCTAAGTAGCCCTTATAGAAGAGGATTCTGCCACTGAACCACCAATGTGGTTTCCTTAAAATCTCAAGCTTCTGTTGAAGTTTATGGACTAATAATAATCACAGTCACAGGATAGATCGATATATAGTATGAGTCACATATATGTGTATATATATTTTTTCTTTGTAATGTATTTTTAAAATCACTTTATTGGGGGCTCTTAACATCTGTTACAACATTTCATACATCAATTGTATAAAGCATATTTGTACATATGTTGCCATCATCATTTTCTAAACATTTGCTTTCCATTTGAGTCCTTGGCATCAACTCCTCTTTTTTCCCCACCACCCCTTTCAACTCTTATGACCCCCTGATAAATTATAAATTATTGTTTTCACATCTTATACCGATGTGAAAACATGTGACTTATTAGAGTCATATATTTGGAAACATTTGCTACATCGGTGCTTTCTACTAGAAAGTATCAGTGTACACAGCTGAAAGAGAGTTGTTAGGCATAATTTCAATGAATGAAAAGTAGGGAATCAAGAAGAGAAAGAATTATATGAGGCTGGCTTCAAAAAGTTCATGAAAAATTCATTATTTTTTAATATCATTTCCCATGACCTTAACATTAACAACAAAATTACAACCATTATCTTAGACGGGGTTGTCTAGTGGGCCTCATATATGAGGGCGTACCCCCCCAAAATTGTAGAGCAGCACTTTCACCGTATGCTTTTTTCCCCTACTAGATGAACATCACGCATCCAGTGGCATTGCCTGCAAAGGTTCTCCCTAGTAACAGTGAATTTATTCATAAAAGCAGTTTCGCTGGAATCTTTTTTTTGTGATGGCCGATTTAAGAGAACTGCATGTAGCTGTCAAATTTTGTTTGCTGTTCGGGAAAAATGTCACAGAAAATGTGATATTGAACACAGCCTATAAGGACAGCGCTATGGGAAAAACTCAAGTGTATGAGTGGTTTTCTTATTTCAAAAAAGGTGAAATGTCGATTGATGACAACCCTTATTATGTACATCTGTCAACTTCCCAAACGGAGGAAAATGTTGACTCGTAGTGCATTTGGAGTTTGTTCCACCAGGTCAGACTGTTAATCAAGCTTTCTATTTAGAGCAGGGGTCATCAAACTACTTGGGCCACATGTGGCCTGCCGAGGAAATGTATCCGGCCCCCCAGGTGTTTTTGCCCCGTTTGGTTTTTTACTTCAATAACTCGTGCCGTGTGCATAGGAATTTGTTCATAGTTTTTTTGTAAACTATAGTCCAGCCCTCCAATGGTCTGAGGGACAGTGAACTGGTCCCCTGTTTCAAAAGTTTGAGGACAGTCTGGCTAGACCAGAGGGTGTACACTGGTACAGATAGGAACTGGAAATCCAGGGCGGATGATTCCTACAGGACCAGTGGTGTGAGTGGCTATACTGGGAGGGTAGAGGGAGAGTGGGTAGGAAAGAGGGAACCGATTACAAGGAACTATATGTGACCTCCTCCCTGGGGGACGGACAACAGAAAAGTGGGTGAAGGGAGACATCAGACAGGGCAAGATATGACAAAATAATAATTTATAAATTATCAAGGGCTCATGAGGGAGGGGAAAAATGAGGACCTAATGCTGGGGGCTTAAGTGGAGAGGAAATGTTTTGAGAATGATGAGGGCAATGAATGTACAAATGCACTTTACACAATTGATGTATGTATGGATTGTGATAAGAGTTGTATGAGCCCCTGATAAAATGATTAGAAAAAAAATAAAAAATAACAAGTTTGAGGACCCCTGATTTAGAGGTTCTACAAAGATTGCGTAACTGTGCAACAAAAAAAGGCCTGATTTGTGGTAAATGGGGGCTGGTTTTGCCACCATGATAATGTACTTGCTCACATAGCCATCTCGCTGTGCCAGTTTTTGGCAAAAAAACAGCATGCCTCTCTTGCCCCACACACCTGACTCACTTGACCTTGCTTCATGCGACTACTTTTTGTGTCTGTAAATGAAGTGGGACATGAAAGGACAGCAATTTGTTAACCGACTTAGAAGAGGTGAAGAGGCAACATATGTACAAATATGCCTGATACAACTGATGTTTGGATTGATATAAGCATTGTAAGAGCCCTCAATAAAGTGATCCAAAAAAATTTTAAAAGATGAAGAAAAAAATGAGGGAGGTGCTGTCAGTCATCCAAACAGATGAGTGTTTCCCAGATTTGACAAATAGTATTAAGTGTAATGGAGAATACTTTGAAGGTGATAAGGTTGTTTTGTAAAAAAATTTAAATTTATAGAGTTGATAAAAAAAGTTCCTTTTTTTTTTTTTTGCTGGGGATACCCCCTTGTAAGTATAAGAAGGAACTTTATTATCAAGAAGTAACTTAATGTCAAGAAACTCAGTCCAACTCATGTCTATGGGTCTGATGCCAGAAAAGCAAATGACAAAAAAGGTGACACGAGATACAAGAAGATCCTTGGCCTGTGGGTGCAGTCATGTGGATCCAAGGTTACATGGCAGTGTGCCACCGACAGCTCTCAGGGTCAGGTGGCCCTCCTGAGGCTGCTCCCGGAGGAAGACACAGTCCCAGCAAGGAGGGAGGGTGCAGGGGCAGAGAGTGGAAGGATCCCCTGTAACTCTCATAAAATGGCCACCTTCCCAAGGCAGCATCAGCATCAGCCTGGGACCTGATTGATAGATTGGACTCCACCCCTGCAATTTCATACAAATTCAAGTTGACATCAATTCTGTCACAAGAAGTCACTTCAGGTACTTAGTGGCCCTATATAACAGGGTTCCCGAAGCTGTAAATCTTTATGGGCACAGAAAACGTCACCCTTCTCCTAGGAGTGGCTAGTGTGTTTAAACTATTAACCCAGCTCATAATCCACTACACCACCAGCCCCTCCTACATTAACATTTCATGCCCACTTGTCTTTTCCTAATCCTTCTAACCAGCCCCCCCCCAACAGTTTTCTGTGTGTAGTACATGAGATACAGTTAATGACCTTTCTTTATTCTTAATTGTGACCAATCCTTTCTTTAGCTTTGAGACCTTAAAAAAAATTTTATTCTGTAGATCTATAGATGCAGTAACTGGATTGGGGCATGATAAAGGAGGATGGGGAAATGGGAAGCTAACTACAGTGGGTATGAGAAGAAAAATTCTGAAATTGTGGTGATGATTGCACAAATCCTCAATATGAGTGAACAATTGTATGATATGGAATGTACATACCAATAAAACAATTGAAAAAACCTCTTTTTTTTCTTCTGTTACTTACCTCTTTACACAGGCTTTTGCGTAGCATACTTGTATTGTGGTATGTCTTTCAGCACTGGGATAGATTTCAAACCTTCTTTAACATGTCTGCCCATTCGATGATCGATGATGCTTTAATGATAAAGGCACAGATGATCTTTTTTTTTTTTCCAGACCAAAACCAGTGCCCTTGAGAAAGATGTGGACATGCCAGAATTTAACTTAGAAAAGGTAAATGTATGTGCTTTGAAATTATTAATTTGAAACTTTTCCTCCCCTAATTCCAAAAAAATTAAATATGTTCAAGCATCTACCAGTTGGAGAAATGGCTAAGTAAATTGCACTGTATTCACATGGCTGAATGTTATCCAGCCATTTATAAAAACATGGTTCTGAAGACTGGGACTACATTGCCAACAACACAAAGGTAAGTTTTTTTACCAAACAAATGTGTATTTTCTGCGATTTTAGCTAGGCTTTTTAAATGTTTGGAATCTATCTGTTTTGTGTCCACAGGCTCGTCTGGAAGTGCACAGGTTTGGAATCACAGGTTATGGAAAAGGAAAAGAAAGGCTTCTGGAACAGGAGCGGGCCGTTATGCTGGGTGCTAAGGTGAGAGGCTGTGCTGCCTTCCATCACCGGACAAACAGACCTAGGGAAAGGGCAAGCCGTGCTCAAGTCAGAGCAAGAGACACGGGGAAGTCTCTGGAAAGTAAAAAAGTGACGTGTCCCTTTTCTTTCACTTCAGCCTCCCAAAAAGAGTTATGTTAATTACAAGATTTTGCAAGAGCAAATCAAGGAACAAAAGACAGCAAAGAAAGAAGTAATGAAAATGGTAAATATAATATCTTTTCTTTACCAAACTGGAACTGAAAGGTACAATTTACCACAATGTGCCCATCTGACTGAGTAATCCCACTAATGCTTCAGTAAAATGATAAAATTCACACCATTTCTTTGACTTAGCTACACTTCTGTAATGAGGCATATTGAAAGAAAAAGCTGGCTTTAAAGTAGCAAACTCCTTTCTGAATAATAAAATGGCACAGATCAAAGCTACTTTGCCCTTTTACCTGTCTAAGTCATCTTCTGTGTTTTAATGTGGTATATAGTATGCAAAGGGCTACACAAACCCACCCAAAGGTGGGTTTTCAAAGGTGACTATAAAGACACGAAGTGTTACGCTCCCTGTTGTGACGGGACAGGAGGGGTTGACATTGTTTCTGTCAGTGTTACCTGGGAATGGCCTTTCACGTCCTTGAAAGTCTGTTATGTTTAATATGCCCACTAGGGAAAAAAAGGTATTCAGAGTAAAGAATGGTATGACCATAACTTTTGGCCACAAATCTCTTGCCATTTTTGAACCTGTTACCCATTCCTGACATATAATTACCTTAATTTATGAAACCAGGCCCAGGACACAGATGTTTTCAAGAAAAGGAAGAGGAAAGGTCAGGAAGACAGGTGAGTAGCACGACCAGGTATTAGAATTGGGTGATGTGGATGCGTTTCTTAGCATTCTGAAGATAATGCCTTGCAGTTCTTTGGTGTTCCAGCCTGTTAGAATATTTTGCCATTCCTCATTTTATCCAAAGGAAGCCCTTTAGAGGGGAAATAGGATGGAAAACACCCAAGGTCAAACAACTAACCCCAGAACAGAATTAGGAATCCTCTATTTTCATAATTCGCTACCAGAAAAGCTATTCCCTGCTAGGAGAGCCTACAAATTGAACAACCTTGTCTAGGGCTATATTGCCTATTCATTGATATACTGTGTAAGGTAGAACCGTACTTTTGAATAATGGAACACTTGACTTTGTTGCTTGATGCTTGTTTCTTAACTTTTCCTCAGGTATTTTTGTTTTTTCCTGTCACCTTAAATGAATGTTTCAAAATGGACTCTTTTGTCATACTTCTAAAGAACTTGTACATTCCATAAGTTAGCCTTCTTTTCTGGCCACATATATCTATTAGAGAGTGCCTATTGCGTGCCAGGCACTTGAATGTGTTCAGTTGGAGATATTGCCATGATCAGTCTGATAGACTTCCTATCCTTATGGAGCCCATATTTTAGTAAAGGGAGCCAGGCTTGAACATGCAAATAAATAAGATTCTGTTGGGTAGTAGCGGGAGCTATGAAAAGTTGAAGTTTAGCATCGTGAAAGAAAAGAATTGAGGATGCCCTTGGTTGTCACTCTAAGGAGGTGTCAGCTGAGCTGGGAACTGAGTAAAGAGGAAGAAGTGGCCTGGGAAGATCTGGTAGAATACTCCAAAATTAGAAGAAAAAAAAACAAAGAATGCCCTGGACAGACGGCTTTTGGTGTGTTTGAGGACTGGAGGAGGTCTGTGGAAATATATGGATAAGGAGTAGAGGGAGGGGAGCACAAGGAGGAGACTGGGCACTTGTAGGGCTCACAGTGAGGTGCCCTTATTGATGATCCTGTGATTCTTCATCATAAACTTGATTGTGTTATCTTCCTCTCACTTTGCATGTAGGAAATCCCAAAAGAAGAAGTTGGCACCTAGTATCTTGTCAGGTGGACGTATTGGAAAGGTTGGAAAATTCAAAAATGGCACATTGATTCTGCATCCCGTTGACATCAAGAAAATAAACTCTTCCAGAGTGACTAAATGAAGTGATTTAGAAACTCACAAGAGTGGAAACGTGCCATCATGCTGAACCGGAGCCTCTCTGCGTTGAAGATGAAAAGATCATTCTGAATTATTGAACGTTTTACCAACTGTGTTGTTACTATTGGAAACAAAATCAAATACTGTCTGTGGATGTTCAGATATATGCTTTATAGTATCTAAAATATTGGGTCAGCTGTGGTGTGAGTATAGAATAAACCTACTGAAAATATTTTTTAATATTTCCCAGTAAGGATCACTCTTGTTTTCACTCATGTTTTTTGTGCATTTGGTTTTGTATTAGTCTGGGTACTTTAGAGAAACAAATCCACAGAAACTCATGTATAAGAGAGAGTTTGATATAAAGGGTAAGTGCACATCAAGAAAACATCCCAACCCAGTGCTACCCAAGCCCACAAGGCCAACATTAACCTATATGTCCGACACCAATCCACAAAGTCCTCCATCTAACAAAACACACGCAATGATGTCGACTGCAGGAGGAAAGCCAAATCGGTGAATGTGTAAACATCTCAGCACTGGCAGGGGTCTCCACATGGGTGATCCAGCACCCAGGGCTGCATTGGGGTAGGTCCATGAAGCTTCTCCTTGGGGATGTCTTGCAGGAAGTGAGCCTTGCCAGCTAAAGCAGGGAACTGGCTAAGGCAGCTGCATCCTGGTCCTACCATCAGAAAGCAGAGTCCTGAGAACTAGAAAGGCAAGGTTCACCGAGCCATTTATCTCTCTGCCCTTCAAGTAACCCCACATGTGTTTATCGGCCAGGTTGGCACAATAAACTACCTCAGGTTTTAATACAGTTCACAATCTTAGTGTTTTGTAGTTGTCAATATTTAACATTAAATTACTGTTTTAAGCTATTTCATGTTACTGTGCAACAAAAGAACTACGTAACAAGCAGATCATTGTTTTATAGAAAAAGCAGCTTTAATTTTCAGCTTACCAAGTATGTAAAATGTACTTTATAAGAAGTTACTTAAATAAAATACAGTTTTTGTAGTATACAAAGGGATATCCCCCTCAAAATGAATTTTTTTTTCAAAGCTGTGTATTTAAATTTTTTTTACAAAACAACCATATCACCTTCAGAGTACTCTCCATTACACTCAATACATTTGTCAAATCTGCAATTCAATTCTTGGAAACATTTTTCAAACTCATCTGCTTAGATAGCTGACAGCACCGCCCTATTTTTTCCTTCAACCTCTTTCTACATCATCAAATCACTGTCCTTTCATGTCCCTCTTCATTCGCAGAAAAATAAGTTACAGTGAGCAAGGTCAGGTGTGTGGGGCAGGAGAAGCATGCTGTTTTCTGCCAAAATCTGGTGCACTGAGATGACTCTGTGCATTTTGGTGGCTAAACAAGTCCCTGTTTGCTCCAAAGCAGGCCTTTTTTTGTCACACACTGTTATGCAATCTTTTTAGAACCTCTAACTAGAAAGCTTGATTAACAATCTGACCTGGTGGAACAAACTCCAAATGCACTAAGTTGACATTTTTGTCTGTTTTGGAAGTTGACGGATGTCCAGAATGAGGTCTGTCTTCAATCAACATTTCACCTTTTTTGAAATGAGAAAACTACTCATACACTTGAGTTTTTCCCATAGCGCTGTCCTTGTAAGCTGTGTTCATATCACAACAGTTAGTGGCATTTTTCCCTGAGTAGGAAAAAAATTTCACAGCTGCATGCTGTTTCTTAAATTGACCATCACAAAAAACAAGGTTCCAGTGAATCTGCTTTTACAACAAAATTCACTGTGACCGGAGAGAACCTTCCCAGGCAACACATTGGGTGCACTAACAGAGCAACTTGCTCAATGTTCACCTAGCAGGAAAAATGTGTACTACGAAAGCTCCACTCCGCCCAGCATAATTCCAATTTTGGGGGGGTACCCCCTCATATATGACTATGACTGTTAAGACAACTGATGATTCTAATTCATATCCTAGGTCTTGAATTCAAGTGAAGATTGTCTTCAAAGTTTTTACATTGGGAAAACATGGAAATTTTTAATTGTACCACCCTTGGCCAAGACTTAAGACACATCTTTAAAGGTCTACAGTTGATTTTTTAAATTGACAAAACATTCAAATCCAAGCTCATTTAATAATGTTTTGGATAAAAATCAAAATTATATAAATGACATTTTTTGTTTCTTTTTTTAATATGACGGGGGGAGAGGAGTTAGCCAGGTAATTTTTTTTTCTTTTCATTTGTTTGCTTTTCTAATCATTTTACTGAGGGTTCGTACAACTCATCATAATCCATACGTCCATACTTTGTGTCAAGCACATTTGTACATTTGTTGCCAACATCTTCAAAGCATTTTCTTTCTACTTGAGCCCTTGGTATCAGCTCCTCATTTTATTCTCCTTACTCTCCCACACTCCTTCCCTCATGAACCCTTGATAATTTATAAATTATTATGTTTTTCATGTCTTACACTGGACGATATCTCTCTTCACCCACTTTTCACTTGTCCATCCCCTTGGGAGGGCGTTATAGGTAGATCATTGTGATCGCTTCTCCCTTTCTCCCCACACCTTCCTCTTACCCTCTTGGTATGGCCACTCTCAATATTGGTCCTAAGGGGCTTAACTGTCCTTAGCCAGGTAAATTGAAGAAACTAAGAGCACACACAGATCAGTATCGAAGAACATTACCGCCACAAAAACCAAAACATCTTTGTGTTGTTTCTGACTCACGTGACTCCACGTGTCAAAGAATAGAATTCTGCTATGTGGAGTTTCCAATGGCGGTTTTTTCTGAAACCTCAAGGCCTTTCTTCTGAGGTAGTTTTGGATGGATTCAAACTAGCAGCCAAATACTTAAACCATTTGCACAAGCCAGGAACTCCTTTAGAATGGAAGGAGGAAATATAATTTGGAAAGAGGTCAGAGAATGTCACATTCTGAATGAGAAATCACTGTATAGAATTTGACTTTTAAATGTGGACATTTGAGTGAGGGACTGTTGAAAGATGTAAGCAATAAAGTGATGTGTTAAAGAGATTACTAGCAATTGCATGGAAGAGGGACTAGTTAGAGTCAGGTTTGTTAATGTGAAATTTTAGGAGGTCTTGCCATCTGCAGTCAAGAATTCCCTTTCAGAAAACAGCCCCATAACTTACAGGGAATTTTAGGGCAGTGACACTTTTCTGCATGGTGCCTAGTAATAAACACATGGCATTTATCAAAACCCATAGGACTATACAGCACCAAGGATGAACCTCAATGTAAGCTGTGGACTTAGGTTAATGCTTCAGTATTGGTTCATCAACTGTTAACAAATGTGTGGCATACGTGCAAGATATTGGTAGGAGAAATTACAGGTGGCAAAGGGTATATAAGCAGATATGTGGCCAACTTCTCTGTAAATTCTTTTAAAAATAATGTATTTAAGGTGAGGTCCAGGTAGTATGGCAGGAGCCAGACCAAATCCAGGGATGATACATATGGTAGCCAACTAAAAAGGAGGGGAAAAGGAAAAAAAAGACATGGGTAGTGGGGAACAAGGCTCTAAACCACACACGGGAAGGGTGTTGTTTATATCTCCACAGGGAGAGAGGGACCAGACTTCAACCCTGTGCTCTGAGACATGAATGCAACATACCCGCATGAAGCAAGGAAACAGGTCTGAGAAAGGCTGGCCCCATCCCAATTATGTGGACAGTCCCCTCTCCCCCCATAAGAATTCACGTACTGAAAACTAGAGCTCAGGGAGAGGGACATGTCTGATCAGAGCACACAGGAGCAAATGAAGGGGGAGGGGGAGAGAGTGTAGCACATCCTGGCCCACCAAGCCCTGAGGAAGATACTCCTGTTCAGAGCAGCCAATGCACAGAGAGGACTGTAGGGCTGGCCCCACAAGACATGACATCCGCTGACCCATAGCACTATGGGGGATACACTGGAGACACTCCAGGCATTGTGCCCTATCTGACCCTACCATCCTGGGGCAAAACCATAAGGGAAGCAAAGCAATGAAGTCCC